GGGCAAAATTTACATTTTCAAGCATTTAAAAGTACATAATTTCCCATATTTTGAGAGGCAAATCATGTGGTTGAGAGTGTTTGGTGGATGGATGTTTTTATGTTTCTTTCCATTTAAGATCTTTTGTCAATTTTGTCTGTCATGGGTGACGGATTGGTTTAAAATTTTTTCCATCACGCGCTGCAAAGTTCCTGTAATTGACACAAAAATGGATGCTGATTAGAGCCTTGTAACTGAGAAAAAGACTTTTTCAAGCCCTGCCAATGTCACATCTTTACTCCCAATGCTACAGTTACCATATAAGGAAGTTTTGTTGGACATGCCCTACATCATCAGTACATGGAGTGAAGCACAGGTGATGTCAGCTGACTGGATGATTCACTCTAATCACATCAGCCTAGTCAGATACTCTGGAGTAAAAGACGACATGGATATTGTCTGGTGACACGACAACATGTCAGAAGAGTGATCTAGTGAATCACAGCTGTGGTGGTGATGACAATATGTAATTTTGCACAAATTGGAAGGACATTTTCATCACATTGGGCCTCTTACTAGTCTTAGTGGCTCATCATAAGCCATACATTTATGACTTGCTCAACACAGCAAGAATGTTAATGGAGTACTAACCTCCAGAAGGGAGTGCTATTTTCTGATACATCATGCTGCAATGATTACATAACTAGCCGACTTTTGACATAATTTCGCTTGTACGCTTGCGCGGCGGATGTTTGTAAAGCGATATCAATTTTCCTCATGCTGAACCACAATCGATACATCCGGGAACTCTGGCTTACGCAATACTCATACACTTCAAGTCAACATAAACATTTTTCAGTGATTATTGAGAAATTACTTCCTTTACTTTGCTTGACCTGTGGTTTGAATACTATTATATCACTATCACTATCAGGATGTCTAATGCAGTGAGCGCCAGTTTCATCCCGCGTGTTTTGATTTTCTCAACTTATTTGCATGTAAGTATTACTTGAACAGAATTTAGATTACGCCACTTAAGGAAAAGATAACTAGATTACGCCGTTTTTTTCATCGTCAATATTTGCAGCATAAATGAGGGGCGATAAGGACATCAAGAAAGGCAATGGTTGGTAAGATACCAAAGAACACAAAACGGTACAAATTTTTCTTATTGCCCCCGAAATAAAGTCTGTAACATAACTTTTGGTTTAAAACATAGACACCAATGGGGTAGCGTGGTGTATTCTGGGATCGTTTTGAGGGTATTTGGAGAGTTTGTCCTGGATTCGATGCGTTTTAAGACTTGAGCACAAAATGGGCATTTAATTGTATACTGTAAAGTAATATGCATTTTTCACTTCCTAAAATAGATGCCTGTCGTGATATAGAACCCCCTTCTGGAGGTTAGTACTCCTTTAAACACCTATTCCATTGTGTAAGGTAACATTTTGTTGAAAATAAAATTTACTGATGTTAAAGCTATATAATGCAAAAATTCATTTCTTCACAAACTTGAGTTGAATCGACCCTACTCCAATGCAAAAAAATGTCATTCAGAAAGTGGAGGTGCCAAAGTATCAAAGTGTGTTAAAAAGCTGGAAACACAGCTGTCAGCCATGTTGTTTACATTTTGGTATTTTGTGGTGGTGCAACAAAAACAAGTGTGCCTTGTGTGGGCTGTTTTATTACCAACCAACCATAAAATTCAGAAATATGGAATAATAGAGCCTGAATAATAGCACAAATATGTTAGAAAGTGAAAGTAAATGACAATCACATGAAGTTTTCTTCAAATAAAGAATATCTAAATTGTTGGAAAAAAAAGTTGCAAATCTCAATTTCATTTCTGGTAGAAGAAATTCAAGAATCGAGATTCTATTTCTTTTTTGTGATCATAGAGAGTTCCAGATGGCTATTTCATGGCCATTCAGATCAGGCCAAAGACCAGTCAAAATGGCAAAAACCTCCACATGGTCATTTGAATTCAACACCTGACTCAGTCAGTAACTTGGATGGGCCCTGGCACTCTGCATCTGTCTACATGTACATCTCATCTACATCTAACTTTCCCACAGGTTACAAATGTTAGCTTTTAACCCAAGGACATTCTATCATCTTAGTACTTTTTTTCTGCAATTTTTCTGCAGATTGCAAGTGAGAATTTGGAGCATTGCATGCCCATGAGCTACATTACCAAATGTCTGAGTCAACCTTTGTCAAGGAGTACATGGTGTATGGAAAACAAGAGTTCCACGATCTCATACCTTCGCCAAATGGTGTTAACTCTTGCGGGTGACAAATTATACAATTTTAATCATTTATTTTGTAAATAAGAGCCTCATTTGCATGGATTATATCAGTTGATCATATTCTCCATCCAATGACAGCCTTATCATAACAAAAAGGCTATTATAGCACTTCCTCATAAATTATGCAAATGAGGTCATGATTTGAATAAATTATGTTTATTGATCTTCACTTCACTTCACTTAACTTCCAAATGTGGCAAGTATGAAATTGGGTGCAGCAGTGACAACTATGGAATTATAAGAATTTGCCATTAATTATGCAAATTAGGTTCTCATTTACATAATCTATATCCTCAGATGTTTTTCTCGTTCTCAAGTAGATGTCACAAGTGTTTAATAGTTCTATTATCGAACAAAGCAGATTTATAGAATTTCCTCATTAATTATGCAAATTAGCTCCTGATTTGCATANCATCCAATCCATCCACTGCTTCTCGAGTTATCTTGCTAAATTACACACACACACACACACACACAGACAAACGCTACTGAAAACATAACCTTCTTGGCGAAGGTAAAAAACCCTTGGCTTCCCCCCCCCACACACACACACACACAACAACATACTACTGTAGCCTACCAGGTAACCCCAGCCCACCTCCTCCTTGGTCTTGTTTACTACACAAACAGTGGAACATTTCTACATTGTTACATGTTCCTGCACCACATTCAAACCATAACAATACATATTTACACAAACATGTAGTAATGGGGCAGGGGGGCACAGGGCAGAGTGACTTGTTCATGTTTTGTTGTTTTACACATTTTTTTACCCTTTCCTATTTACCCACGTAGCTGAACATAGTAGGAAAACTTGAGACAAAACCAGGTACTGAACCTGATCTAACCTCTAAAGGTGACACAACAGACTCATTTCTGTGTGTAAACACTGTCAACCATTATTCCACATGTACACTGCAGTTACCATTGGGTCCAAGAGACAGAAATACTTTGTTTTTAAAAAATTGTGTTTGTTTACTGGTGGCCATATTTTGATAAGCCCTCAGTCTGAGTGCAATCTGACTATTTCTGTCTCATGATATATGGATGGTGCATGTCATGGTCAGTGGAGCACACTGATTTACATGTTAATTATGCTGAATACAATCATGCACTCAGATGTTCACTTTAGAAAGGATTTCTTCATTGAATTCCACCTGCACCCAATGTTCAAAAATATTATGTCAAATGTTGCATGATGTCTAGGTACCACATCAATACACATGTAAAACTGTTTATGCCACATAATCACACTGGCATGATTTTTTCTTGAAATAATTTCATTTCTGAGTTTTTTTCCTCCACCTGCAAAGTCAGTAGCAGGATTTTAGCTTTGAAGGCTAGAAATATTCTACATTTATTGATGTCTTTCTTGCATAATGTATGTTATACGCATGTACCTTAACATCTGGCATAACTATCAAATGTAAGGTGCAAAATTGTGTGTGTTTGTGTGTGTGTGGGGGGGGAGGTCCAACTGAAATGACATTTCAATAACAATAAGAATAAAAATGCAATAATGTCCTCAGGGTAATTCCAATTCCCAAGGTTCAAATATGCAAAAGCTAGCACACATTTTGTTGTATAACATGCCAGGCAGGGCTCGAAATTCATTTATGGGAATAGGAGCACTCAGGTGCACCCAACCTTAAATATTAGGTGCACAAAATTTTTTTGGGGTGCACCATATAAAACAAAAACTAATTACAGATCTTACTGCTCCTCTTCTGAGCTTGAATCTGAAATGGGAGCTAACTTACAACAAAGATTTTATTATTTTTATTATTTTTCTGACACTTGTATGCCTAGAATATCCTGCATACTATTATACATTTGATATGTACAAAAATACCTACAAAAATATTTGGGTGCACCAGTGCACCCACAGAAAAAAATTGGGTGCACAGCTCCAATTTTGGGTGCACTAAGGTGCACATGCACCCAGTATTTCGAGCCCTGCCAGGTATTCTGAAACAGTTGAGTTATTCAGGTCATTTCTTTGCTTCCCATCATGAGCAGTAAATGCTTTGCCTTGGGCATAGAAAATGGTGTGTTTCCAGTTACCCGACTGTCCCTAGCAACCACCCCCACCCCTTCGCAACCCTAGCTTCTTTTTTAGGGGTTGGCCACCAACAAGAGACATCAAAATTTTGATCTGACAATTATAGCTGTGCTTACTGGTACACTGGACCAAATCAGCACCGGTGTATTGATGCATTTCAGTGTATTATTAACTGTATCTGTATTAATTTACCTACCTACCGACCCTAATCTTTTTTCATGACTGTAATAGGAAACACAACATTCACTTTCCTAGGCCCAGATGCCAGAGTAAAGGCAAATTAACTAGGCTGCCATCAATGACATCATGGTCAACTGCCTTCTGGGATAGCTCCATAAACCCTGATACAATTCTGAACAAGCGAAGAATGAAAAATTACATCAATCACATCCTGCAAAATTCAACAGCTATGTGGAATTCAGAATACATACATAGTATCAGCTGTGAGGATATCATTGTATCTCACTGTATAATATTACACCAAAACACTGCTTTTCTATAGGATTTTTATGACACTTTTCCAAGGTATGGTTTGCATATGAAACAAAGGTGATGTGGGCCAGATGATGTCATCTATGTAGCACAGGTCCATTATAGATGGAGCCATCACACAAACACACAATTCTGACTACAACAAAAAATCAGCCCACCTGTTTTCCTCCGATAGTGAAGATTTTCCGAACGATCCCAGTGTCAAGTTTAATGGCCATGGTGATATCATTAAGGACCTGGTTAAAGGAATGCGCTGTCTTCTTGTTGAGTAGAATGCGGACGGCCTTTCTGGGTTTGGTTCCGTGGCGTATAACAGTGATGAGTTTGGGCCGAATGTAGTCTCTGTTCTCCTCCTGCTGTTGTCTATCACTCGGGCTCGTTCCTGTGTGAAATTCATCTTTTTTCTTCAAGTTAGAAATCCAACTGGGGTTGACGTTTTTTGTGTAGTCCAGCCTCTTGAAGACCTCAGTGGAGGCGCAGACATAGCTCTCCCCCTCCTCTATGTCGTCTATAGAGGAGACTTTTCTGGACCCGTCTATGGTGAAGATCATCCTGACGCCTTGCGGAAGATTGACGTTGTCGGTCAGGGTGCGGGTAAGGTCGGCCAGGAGCGCCTCAAAACTCCGGAAGCGCTCGGGCGACACCGCGTACACGATCCCCTTGAAGAAGCGATCACCATTCCGGTAGAACCGCACCTTCTTCGCCCTCTTCTCCTCCGCGAGCTTCTTGAGAGTTCGAGTGCGGTAGAAGGAGGCGTGTGCGCTGTGTGAGGGGCTGGGGAGGCCGCTGCGCCCGGAGCTGCGCGAGTGTCGGCCCGTTTTCGACTCGTCAAAGTGTTCCGTGAAGCTGAAGTCCGCCATCATGCCTTGCCGTGTTGTGCGGTGTGGAAGCTGCCCGCTCGCCGGCCTGACGTCCCCTGGGAGGCGGTACGTGACGTGAACGCCGCGACGCACGTGACGTTACAACACAACCTAGAAGTCACAACACACACGCCAACAAACACAGGCCGCTGTAAAACGTCACCGAATATGGGTTTAAAATCGCCGCTGTTTGGAGAAGCCTGTCAACCCTAAAGATCCTTCACTTCCGCATGCAAACCCCTGCCTTACCGCAGCACGCGAGGCCCTGATTTATGCATGTATTATTCGGGCAGTACCCAGGCACACATGGGCCCTCATAATTTCCGGCTTCTCGAGGGACATCAGGTACTAGTATTCAGGACGGGCATTATTCAGATGCCTGGGCTTATGCACGTCTGGTCGGTGAGAGACGACAACGTGCACCTGCGGTCTGACTAGATGTGTTGTTAAGCAACCGTGGGAACCTCCCATCGCAACAGCAACACTATCATAATGGGCTAACAATAACCAGTACGCACGGTACTGTAACGTTACAACAACGTTACCGACAGCAGACACTTTGATGGGGACTTCGTTGTTTCTTTTGGTACCCCAAGGAACCAATCCATACACATTGTCAATGACTGTCATTGTACGTTGAGGTTTCATTTTATGATTATATACATTGTACATGTAACGTTATATAATTCTTGAAAATGTGGAATAAAGCTTCCACTAAGACAGAAACTAGAATATATTCATTGTGTAGTTAGGCTATTGCTACAACTGTGATGCTGAGAAGCCTGCTGATAGACTTCATATTTGTATGTAGTTTTAATAGATATACATGTACATCAAATTCAGACACAATGTGTGATGGAATAAATGGTGGAGGCTGCACTTCCAATAAAGTCCGCATGCAGCAGGTGGTGCTGTTGCCCTTCAAGGGTGGTTAGAGCTGATGTTTCTGCTCTTCAATAACATGCTAATTAAGGGCCATTAAGTAAGCCCGTGCTTGAAGCTTCTGTTATACTCATGTCAATCTTTCACTTCATAGAGTACTTTGTATCTATCCCATTTTTCCATTTTTTTCATGTGCCACCCTACCTGAAAAGGAAATCAGCAAATGGCCAGTGAAGGTTCTGAAGCACTATTCTGCCTGTGCTACCACATGTACCAGCATGGCGTGGAAGAGAGCCCGGAAATTGCCCATCCCTGTACACAACCCCTCAGTCTCCTTCGTTGGGCGATTACTCGACATCACAATGCATGAATATGCAGGCAGCAAACAGTAAAAACATGAACTTGAGTCGCAAGACAAAATAAGCGGCTCTTCTCCCACCATTTTGAGAGGGTCTGCATGGGGGGTCCTGCCAACGGTTAATGTAACAGCAGGGCCGACAATGCATAACGGTAAGTTCAGGACAGTCAGCAATGCTAAACGGTAAATTGACAGTTGTTTTTATTTGCACTAGATTTCGTATCTTAACTTGTGAGAAAAAGTGATCATTGACAAAATTAAATACTAGTATACCTTACGTGTCACGCATTCAAGGTGTTCCCTGTGTTTCTCACCTGCCCTGGTCCCCGAGCGCGTCCACAAATGGAGTCAGAGTCGGCCAGGGCTCTACCTAACTTGAAATCTTTTTTCCGTCTGCCTAGGTTCATCATTGGATTTTGGGAGGCTCGCAATCTAGGGGGGTCGGGGGGGGGGGTTGCCTTCCCCGTGACATTTTATCCCTCACCACGGTGACCTGCTCGTGTCTAAAGACAAACTGTTAACCATTTTCAAAGGGTTTTGGAGTTGTATACTATTCCCAGTCTAAAGAGTGGGGCTAAGCCAAAGATTTTTAACCTTGAACGTGGACATCAGTGATGTCTTCATGGGGAGCAATGGATTCTTCTCCGGAGGATCCACTCATCTCCATCTTCCATCAGTGATCGGAGCTCCGCTGTAGAGATGTCCCTGAGCCCATCATCTCGCTTCAGGGTATCGATGAAGCTTGTATGTGATTTTATGTGATTTATGGTTGGCACTAAAGCATCCATGAAACAGTTGAACATTCAATGCACCACTTTTTTGTGTAGGAAGTTTTAACTTTGTAACTGTATTAAGATAATTTCACGTTTGCTCTGTAAAATATAAAAAAAAATACCTGAGTACTGAAGTGAAAAACTGAACAAAGTACAAGTACATGTATTCTTGGTATTTATTAAAATACATGTATATTCATGCCAAAGAAATACACATGAAATAAAAAGGTTTTGGTATCAGGTGTATCAATTGTAGCTACAAACGTCTATGATTAGGGTTAGAGTTTGGAATATCTTAGCCTGGATCCGGAGACCAGGCTTGTTAGCTTCAGTCTGCTAGGAACAGGCAACTAAACATGTACGACTGCATGCCCTACAATTGCCTGGACGTCATCTATTACTAGCTATCATACATGTACAAGTTGTACATTATCAGCACAGCTGTGTCTATAGTAAAGTCCACTATGTTCCTCAGAATTACTCCTCAGTACTATTACTCCTCTGGACTACAGAGTACTCCTCAGAACTGCTCACAGTACAGGACTACTCCTTGGGAGCACTATTCAAGACTGCTCCACGGGAGTACTCCTCAGGACCACTCCTCAGGACTGCTCCTCATGATCAGACAATACTCCCTGGGACTGCTCCTCAGAACTCAGGACTGCTCCTCAGGACTCAGAACTGCTCCTCAGGACCACTACTCAGAACTGCTCCTCAGGACCACTCCTCAGAACTGCTCCTCAGGACCACTCCACAGAACTGCTCCCCGGGACTGCTCCTCAGAACTGCCAGCTCTAATGGAGCTCGCCCGTCCCTGCTTTACTCTGGAGGCGGTTGAGGACAAAGTTACTGGTGTCGATAAATCTTTCCACACAGTTGACAAAACACGTCTCTGTCCTTCCATCAAGTTTGGTGGACGGTCTGCAACAGAAATGATATACTAAGGTCTTTGTCAGCCAGGAGAAGACAGACATTAGTACCCTTGCTAACAGGGCCTGAAATACTACATGCAACTTGCAATTTGGATGTGATTTTCAAGATTTTCTAGGGCAGATTGTAATTCCAGTTTGTCCTAAGAGAATCAGAATGTGCTTCCCAATTAATTAAATTTGCGCTGACCACCAGGAAGGGCTCTTGCACTCCTTGTGGGCCAGGTGGTTGACTGTTAAACTTAAAGGAGTTGCTGCACCGTTATTTTGGAGTCGGAAAGTTTAAACAAAGGAGAAGAAGGTTCAACATGTGTTTCGTGATGTCTGGGGTTTTGAACCACAGGAACCCCAGTTATTCATTTCTATGATTCAGCCAGCATATTTTTTGGAACCAGCATAGGCTGACTTTAGACTGACGACGGTTGAATAGTCCTACGAATGTTTATTGTCAAGACATTGCCGGTGACAGTATTTTAACACCGTCTAAAGACGATCAAAATAGTCGCACGACGGTAATCCTCGAATCGTCATCACTACCACCTTGGACCCTATCGTGCGATCCTTCAGAGGGGGGTCCAAAATGGATTTCCTCCGTCTAAAGCGAATCATTGCTGGCAAAGGAAGTTAGATGTCACTTATCATATGCAAATGAGCCTGCATTATTTTCTGTCCAAAAACATCGCCTATAGCATAGTATTACCATTGAATGTTGTCAAATGTGCCAAGTGCGATGCCGTACCACCAATCGCTACTTCTCTGGTACTGATCCGCCTTCCTACTGCAGCACCGAACGCTGGGTTCAAACCTACATTGTAGGTATTTCCCATCTTGGTACATTCGCTTCATAGCCCTTTGTTGGGCACGAACTCGGCAACGCGAGTTATTTTATAAAAAGCAGAAAAGGCAGACAAAAACAAGGGGGTTCTCTCGCCATTTTGAATTCACACGGCATGCCAGATTTACAGTACTCATTTTGCTAGTTTTAATGAACAGTAGCTAAACCAGAAAGGCGGATGGAAAAACAACAAAAGTTTAGATAGGCTATATGATAATAACGTTAATGCCCCGCCTTATCCTCGGTGTATATGGTGAGATAATCCCTGGTTAGGTGTGATAACCGCCTCATAAACCACCTCGTTCGCTATGCTCACTTGGTGGTTTATTCAGTGGTTATCACACCTGACCAGGGATTATCTCACCATATACACCTCAGGGCGGGGCATTAACCCTTTAATGTTACACAAACTAACAGTAGATGTTTTCAAGGAATTCACAGATATGACAATGATAGACAAGAATTCTGAGATTTCAAACCTCCATGAAATATATGAGTCTTTGTAAATGTTTTTTATTTGTCTCATTGACAATGGAAATTGGAAATAAGGAAATTTGTAAATTCAAATGACAACATTTTCATATTGTAAAATCCCTCTACTTTGTCATACTTCATTTCAACATGTCCTCATTAATCATGCAAATGACCTCCACATTAACATAATATATGCATAGAGGTGTTAACCTTTAAGTAACTTACACATGTCACAAGTCCCATCATTCACCAATAAGGAGTCACAGAATTTTCACAATTATGCAAATTAGGTCATCATTTGCATAATTGGTATCTATTGATGTTCTGCCTGCCACATATTAAATAGATTACATGTATAAAAGTACTATTATATAAAACACTGTAATTATAGCATTTTCTCATTAATTATGCAAATTACATCCTCATTTGCATAATTTGTACATCTGTACATTTAATTATGTACAGCTCTCTCTCAGTAACCTACACAACAAAAATGATGAAAATACGTTGTTCCTATCTGGACTTACCGGTATTGGCTTTTAAAGATTTCGCCAGAAAGTGCCCTGCAGTTCCAGAACAAGCTGCTAGGGGGACCAAACTCACACCATCCTGATAGGATAAGCTATTTGTCCCCCAAAAGTGAAGACCATAGCATGTTCAAAACAAAAGATACAAAAACCGGAAGTTGTGCTGCAGTACCAAGGTCATCCACCAGGAGGCCCATATTTGACCTTGACCTTTGGCTTCCTAAGACTTACCAACGTACCAAATATCATCACAATCCATAAAAGCGTTATGAAGTTATGCTGACTACAAATGTGCAAAAAACACAAACACACACACACAGACAGACAGACACACAGACACACACACAGACACACAAACCATACCTCCATTTTTCATGGAGTTAATAATGTGATGCATAAACATTATACAGCACAAAATGCAGAGTAACAAAAGTGTAGTCGTGTTTGGCAGGGTATGGCAAGTTCCAATAAAGATTGAACCGATACATGTCCTTGGTACATGTATCGGTTCAATCTTTAACAGGCAAGTTGATAGCAACAAGAAAGACTCATGCATAGGTTTTACTGCTTTTGTAGCTCACTTGCGTCCAGATTTGCGACGAACCCAGGTTACATCTTTGTCACAGTTTTGCACGTAGTGGTTGCTTCAGCAGCCTTTCCTCTGACGCATCCCCCCACAAGGCCACTTCTTGGTCCACTTTTTATCTAAAGGTCCAAGATTTTTCTTTTAAAAGATGTACTGATTTGTGTCGCCAGCTGCAGCGAGGCTTGAATCGTAGGAAAATGGCTCACTTTGTTATTGGAAAAAGTTATCTCTGATTTTTTCTTTGAAATCCTCTAAAAAAATGCAGGAAATGCCATTTCAGAAGGTTCTTTTTCAAAATTTCCCGGGGGAGCATGTTCCCGGACCCCCTAGGAACCTTGTGCCGCTCACTGATCCCTCAAGCACTGGGAAGAACCCCCCCATATTCAAAATCCTGGCTACGGGCATGTCATCGGTGGCCAAATGGATACAGGCTGGCCAATTTGATACTGTCTTACCCCCACCGAAAGATCTGCTTGGAGATAACTGCATATAAGACCCGATCAGTCGTGGCATTTATGGTACATTGTGTCACACCAGCGAATCCAAGTCCGAAGCCAATCCACTTTGCGTTCACACTCGTGTTTACGTCTGATTGAAATAGCTTACTACTTCCTGTTTCTGAAAAATGGAAAAAAAAAAATAGGTTGTTGCGATAAGTTTTTCGCAAAATCCGGTGACGCGACTGCCTTGAAATTCCACATAGAACGCAGCTATTTGGGTAATCAGGCGACAAACCGCATCACCCTTGCTCGCGGACTAATACCAAAAATGCGTCGCTGGCCGTCCAGCTTCACCACACCGAAAAACACTACAATCCCAAGGTTTTTTTATCAATTCAAAACCTGCTTGAAAATCTACAACGATCACCGAGCTATGGGGAGCCAAACCTAGCGTGACAGCCTCGCAGATCCGGCGATTTACTGCGCACTATTTGGAACCCTGGTCATAATTAAACTCCGAACCGGAACCTTATAAGCTCTGTCAGGATTTTGTCTCCTGTGACACACAGCGCCTTCTTTTACCCCTATTCTCGGTATCACCAGCCGCTTCAAAATCATTCTCAAATTTACAAAAACTGCTAAAAATAATCCACTCGAAGTCCCCAAGCCCGGCTGTGCTGTCTTCATGAATTC